TGGTCATCTCTATCAACTGCTCGCTCACAAGGGGGGGAGGCAGGCAGGCAGGCGTGCAGGCACGTCAATGTGTGCGTCAATGTGTGTGTCAATGTGTGCTTGCACATCAATACACGTCAGCGGCGGGCGCAGACCCGGCGGGGGCCGCCAGGCGCGACCCAGCCTCTGCCGCGCCTCTGCTGCTGCCGCCGCCGCCAGCCACCCCCCACCACCGCTCACCCAGGTCCTCGACGTCGTCGATCCTCTCGCTGACCAGCAGCAGGCGGCGCAGCACGTAGTCGGCCTGGATGAAGTAGCTCTCCAGCAGGTCCTCGGCATCCTGCGGCAGGCGGGCGCGGGAGACGGGCGGGCATGGCATCGCGCTCCCGGCGCCGGCGCCGGCCGCGCCCGGCACAGGGCGTGCTGTCCCCTGCTCCTCCTGTGGCCGCCGGCCGCCCCCCGGCGCCGCCTCCCAGCCTCCCTGCCCGCCCCGCCTGCTGCCTTGCCTGTATGTCGTGTGGATCCACCGCCGGCATGGCGGGCTGCTCGATGATGGTCTCAATCACATCGCCGTCGCTGCTGCCCTCGCTGCCGTCGTCGTCGTCCACGTGCTCTGCACCAGTCATGCGCGCAGGCAAGCGGAGGATCCACGCAGGCACGATGGTAAGTGGATTCACGCAGGCATGTGCTGCCAGTCAGGCGGCAGGCGGGCGCGGCGGCAGCCCCTCGAGTGCAGGCTGCAGCCGCGCGCAGCGGGTGCAGACAACGGCGCACCCATGGCCGCCGGCGCCGAGTCCGATCGCTCTGGCAGGCCCTCATCCTCGGGCATGCTGCCGCCGCCGCCATCCCCGCCCGCCGCCGCCAGGGCCGCTGCCGCCGCCGCCGCCTCCGGTGAGGTGGGCGAGGCGGCGCCGCGGCCCTTGCTCCTGCGCTTCTTCCGAGTGCGCACCGTGCGCACAATCGTGCTGGCGCGGTGCCACTGCTGCCTGCCGGCGGTGGCGCCGCCGCCGCCCGGCCGCCTGCCGCCGCCGTGGTGGCTGCCGCTGCCGCCTGCCACGTCGCCGCGCGAGTGTGTGTGGTGACCCAGGTGCTCGGGCGCGGTGCGTGTGTGCAGGTCTGCTGCGCTGGAGTGGGCCCCGTCCCTGCCGCCCAGGCCCGCCCCTCCCTGGTAGTGGTGGGGTGGGTGCGGGTAGGCGCCGCCGCCGCCGTCCGGGTAAGGGGGCTGACGCGCCGCCTGGCCGTCGTGCTGCGCAGAGGCGGCGGTGAAGTGGGAGGCCAGGGAGGAGGCGGATGCGGTTTGGGGCAGCTCGGCGCGGGACGCGGGCCTGCGGCGGGCAGGGGGTAGCGCAGTGGCAGGGCGTGAGGACGAGGGAGTGCTGCGCCATCATCCTGCGTTGAGGGGCAGCCGTCACGGGGCACAGCCATGGGGCCGTGCGCGAGCGCGCGCGGCAGGCGCTGCAAGGCAGGCAGCGGGACGGCCTGGCTGCGTGCCTGCCGGCCGTCAGCTGCACGGCGTCGGCCTCGCCGGAATACGACTTGGGCCCTGGCGACAGGCGGGGCGCCGCCGAGTCCTGAAACGACTGGGCAGACTGCGGCAAGGGGGCACACAGGGACGGCCGGCCATGCAGCACGCATCCACGCTCAGTGGGGGCGCCATGCCGCAGGCATGTGCTTCTCTTGCACCAGCCAGCCTGGGCAGCGTGGACTGCACCACACACCACCCCCCCCCCCCACACACACACACACCACGCACTCACCGGCGAGCGGCCCATGGCCAGCGCCAGTGACTCTGCCAGCGGCTGCTCCCCCAGCAGCATCGCACGCCGCGCCAGGTACATGTCCTGCGGGGCGGCGGCGGCCCAGGCACGCGGCGGCCCAGTCAGCACGGGATCTCCCAACGGGCGGCCACCCTGCCCCTTTGGTCTCCCGCCATCAGCCATCCTGCTCGCCTCCCCCAGCCTCACCGCCATGTCAGCATCATCCTCCAGGACCTCCTCCACTGCGGCCAGGGCCAGGGCAACACAAACAACCATGGCTTGCTCTGCCGCCGCCTGCTGCAGCTGGACCAGAACCCCCGGCTGGCTGGCTGCCACACACCCACGCGCCCCCATCGCGCCATGCACAAGCGCGCCAGCCGGGCCGCACTTACGCTCCTGCTTCAGGCGCTGCACCCGCCCGATGAGCTTCCCCATGACCTGCTTCACCTGCCGCACGTCCTCCAGCACCGCCCGGTTCACGTTCTTGGCGAGCCGGTCTGCGGCGGGGCACGGGGCGCAGGCTGAGCCCAGCACCTCGCCCTCCCCCGCGCTACCCCTTTCGCCGCCCCTGCTGCTCCAGCATTTCTTGCCTCCCGCAGCGCCCACCGCCGCCTGGCTGGCAACGCACCGATGGTGGGGTAGGCCGCCTTCTCCAGGTCAAACACCTCGCGGTCCAGGATGTTGGTCACGGTGGCTAGGCCCACCTCCAGCGCCCTCAGCTCGTAAGGCGCGTCAAAATCAAAGGCAGACGCGCTGTGCCTGCGCACGCGGCGGCGGCGAGGGTGTCGGCCGCCTTCACCCCACCAGGCACGCAGGCATGCACCCGCGAGCGCGCCGGCTTGCACCCACCCTGCTTTGTGCCTCGGCGCGCCCCGCACCTGTTGAGGTCGTGCAGCGTGGCGGTGCTCTTCCCCGTGCGCAGGCACTTGCAGAGCTGCTTGATGAACGGGTTGTCGAGGGTGGGGAAGGCGGCCACCCGCGCGTCGCTGGCCTTGGGCACGCTGAGCACGAACACGGCGTTGCTGCAGATGATCATGCGCACGCTCTCCAGGTTGGCCACCAGCGCGCGGTCGCGGATGAGCAGGGTGCAGGGGGAGGGGGTGGGCACCTGCGCGGCGGCGGCGGCACAGGCCCAGGGCGGCGGGCGCTGAGGCGATGGGGACGGCAAGTCGTCGCATGCAGCCCTGCGCGCCGCCGCCCCACCGTGGGGTCCAGGATCAGGAGGTCGCGGTACCGGATGCCAAGCTCAGCCACGATGCGGTGCTTGTCCACCTGCACGCGTGGTGGGTGGGCGGGGCGGGTCAGGCCAGCCCCACCGCCGCTGTGCATGCAACACACCGAGGCCTGTCCGCCCCACCTCCACAAGCGTGGGCACCCCCAGGTGGTCAATGTGCAGCCAGCGCTTGGAGATGACCGAGCCCAGCGTCTGCAGAAGGGGGGAGCACCGGGCGGTCACCTTTGGCGGCAAGGCAGCCTGCTCTCCTCCCGCCGCGTGCAGTCAGATGACTTGCCCACTCGCCTGCTGCTGCTCGGACAGGCCTGTTTCGATGAGCGTGGCCCAGAGGAGCGGTATGCGGGAGCCTTGGTCCTCTGGGGCCTCCTCCTTGCCGTAACCGCCCTGCATGGTCTCTGATGTGTCAGATAGACGCTGATAATAAAGTGCCCTAGGGATGCGAGGGCCAGCGCGTGACATGCAACAGGTTCCCGCGCTGGCAGAGCAAGCTCCCAGGCTGGGCCCCGGAACTAAATCACGGTCACGACAGAGCGACAAACAACGAGCCTTCCTCCCGCCACCTGGCCACCGCCACCTGGCCGCTCCGTCAGCGATGGAGCGGCTTGTGCTGTGCTTTGCCTGCTGGGCCACCATTTGAGGGCTCTGCTGCCTCTCAGCCACTGTTTTTTTAGCTGTTTGGGCCAGCTAGGCGCCCCAAATTTGAAGAGGCGGCCTTGGGAGTTTGGGTTTGAGCGCCCACGCGCGGAGCGACGGAGGCACCGGCCAAGGTTGGTCACCAGGGCAAACCCGGCCTCGTTGAGGCTGAATCTGGCCTTGGAAGGCCGGTGCGCCTCCGTAGCTGTCTGCTGCGGGCCCGGAAGGGCAACTCAATGGGCTCTGAGCCGCTGCTAGCAGGCGCCGCCATGGCGTCGGGGAACAGCATCCTAGCAGCCTTTAAGGGGGAAGGAGGGAGTGTGCTGCTTGTCTCTGGCCGTGTGGAGAGTGTGCCAGAGGGCGGGCAGGTGACGGTTCCCTTCTGCGGCGGCGGCGCAGGCGCGGCAGGCGGGACAGGCGCAGCAGGCGGGACGCCTGGCTGCACTCACCGTACCATACAGCCAGGTAAATGGGGGACAACTACACAGACGCGCAGCTGGTGCAGGTGGCCCTGTTTGCTCAGCACATACCGCCCGAGCTTCAGGCCACAGCAACCATCAGCCAGGCTCAGCTGCAGGCGGCTTTTGAGTGCCTGCGAGTCCCGGTGGAGGAAGGGGAGGGCACCGGCACCTCCAAACAACTGCCAGCGCAGGTTGGAGCCCCTGCTTGCCCCTACTCACATCCCTTCTACTGACGAACTGGAAACTACCTGCAGGCAGAAGAAGGAATTCCACCAGCCACCCCGGCAGAAAGCGGAAGAACTTTGAAGTCACGATTTCCGAGCCCTCACAGGTGGGCAGCTGCTGCTGGCAAGGATGGCGGCAGCTTGGCCTGCAGAAAGGGCCCAAGGAGGGGCCAGCCTGCAAGAGGCAATGCATGCAAGGAAGAGCCCAAGAAGGGGCGGGCTTGCAAGAGGCGATGCATGCAAAGAAGAGCCCAAGAAGGGGCAGGCCTGCCAAGAGGCCATGCATACCAGGAAGAGCCCAAGGAGGGGCAGGCCTGCAGGAGGCGATGCAGAACGGGAATGGCTTAAGCAGTCTAGAACATTTGATTCAATTACAGAGGCGTTTCTTCTGAGAGTTGATGCATGAATGGCTGACGTGTAAGCGCTGCACGTCACAGCACTCTATCATTTAGTCCACCATGTGAACCGAGAAGTGCTATGCAATCAATTACATTGGACTCAGAAGTGGTCAGCAGGAAGCGGATAAAGCAAGTTAAGGAGCAGCAAGCAGGGAATCAGTAAGAACCATGGGACTAGCAACAAAGACTGACGGATGGTCAACAGATCAGCTGCAGCAAAATCTTGCCGGTCTACCCCTTGCCCGGCGCCGCCTTGCTGCTGCGGAAGCCGCTGTACTCGCTGAAGTACGACTCGGTACCGTCCCGCATGCGGTCGCTCTGCGCCGCCTGGTTGGGGTTGACCAGCTCGATGCCCTGGATGGGCGTGAAGGCCAGGCTGGAGGAGAGGCCGCTGGTGGCGCCGCTGCTGCCGTAGTTCTTCAGCGCAAACTGCGAGGCAGGAGGCGGGGGGCAGGGGCAGGCGAGTCGGCGCAAGTGTGGGGCCAGAGCAAGGGTGGCTGTGGAGGTGCCAGGCTGGCTGGCACAGCAGCCTCTGGCCCGTGCAGCACACGGCGCCCCCACCCCACCTTCTTCTGCGCCTTGGCGCTCAGCTTCTGCCGCTGCTGCAGCGCCACCGCGCGCAGCCGCCCGCTGCCCTCCTTGCCGATCACGCCCAGCCCGATCGTGTCCTCCCCATCCACAAACTCCTCCTCCGCCTGGTTGAACATCATGCGGTTGGCCTGCTTGCGCAGGTCGGTCATGCCAAAGCGCTCCTGCGGGGTGGGCAACAGGGGGAGGGGCAGGGGAGGGGCGAGCAGCAGGCTGCGTTGGGGGCGGCACGGCAGGGGAGGCAGGTGCTTCCCACGCCAGGGACTGGCATCCAACGCACGGAGGGTGCCGGGTTGCCGTGCCCAGCAGGCAGCCGCA